GACAACGAAAGGGAAGTCCGGAGAATCAAAATCGAGACCAAACGACTGAAGAGGAAGCACAGCGTTGGCAACGATTTCATCGACTCTTCGTCGGCCAGCGACTCATCGCCCGAACCGTCAAACACTAGCAATACATACGGCGACACCACTGCCATCACCGGCACAGACATCACACCCACCACTTCCACAAACACTTCTTCATACACCACTTCCATCCATACCTCCACCACCAATACCTATGACAACACAATCTGTTTGGATATCGACACATACCTACCGGACACAAGTGATCCCACGGACGACAACTTACTTATAGACAATACAATCATCGACTTTTTGGACCTAACCCTCGAACCGGTAGTCCATCGGCCGATTGCTGACTACAACCACTCGTTCAATGAGAACGAGTTCGGCCGACTCAACGAACTGATGGCCGCCACCAGTCATTTGCAGCGACACTTCATACCCGTCGTGACCGACGAGTTGTCCCATTTTCAGGACTGCATCGACTGTATGGTCAGCAAAATAGAGAAAGACATCCCGGCGTTGGTCCGCATGTGTAAGAGTTTGCGGGCCTTTCATACGGTGTGCGACGGCGACCAGATCTCGCTGCTGAAGATGGGAGGCTTGGATGTGCTTCTCCTCCGGTCGATAGTCTCGTACGACTCGCTCACCAATAGTTGGATTATATTTGAGGTTTTATTTTATAAGTTTTATTTGCCATTCATTGACAGCAAAACATTATATAAATATTACAGAATGACAGCAAATCCACGAGAGTTAGCGTTGATATGTGGAGGAATGCGGAAACGGAGGGTGTGTTTGAACGGCACAAGAGGTTTATATCAAACATGTTCAGCCTATGGGACGGCGATCCTCTCGTACTTGATTTGGTATAACATTATTTTTGATTACATAATTAACAACATATACTACATGTAAATAATAATATCATGTTAAAATATATTTGTCTAGTTGTCGGCAATATTAATGTTTAACCCGAATCGACCGAATCTCGCACATAAAGAGACAATAAAGTAAAACTTAATACAATGTACAGTAATATTAACCATAAGTAAACTAATGACTATTTCATCCGTTAATAGACTTCAACGACAAGTTTACACACATTTATTGCAACGCTATTTACACGTGAAATACGGGTCGGAAGACGAGGCGAAGACACGGCTTATGCAATATTTAAGTAATTTTGATGATATATTTGCGTTGAGCCGATCGCACGCCAATTCCTTTATGGTTAGACAGGACTTCTCTGTCAATCCATTTCCTCTGCCACTACTCAAAGAGATTTGCGAAACAAAACCTTCCCATCAGTTGACTGTTTTATAAGGAGAGAGAGAGAGAGAGAGAGAGAGAGAGTACCCTAATTGTTTTAGACCATACGTGTATAATAATTGTTGAATTTGTTATAATATATACTGTAAATACAGAAAATATATTTAATCTACATCGTTTTAATGTTAGCCAATTTAATTCATTGCTACATAAATAAACCAAAATACCTGTTATTCTGTACAAATATTTCAGTGTAATTATAATACATTTTTAAAATCATTTAGAAATCATAAGATTTAATTTAATTATTACTGCGATAATCATTTGCCTCACAATTATCAACCCTGACCTCCAAAACAACACCCATTAAATCGTTATCTTATTTTATTATTGTTATAAATAATTATACATTTGTTTGATTTTACGATTTATGTTGAATATAATTAACAATAAAATATTTTAAACACATTTTAAATGATTAATTAGTTGAGTTTTACGCTGAATTCAATGCGTTTATTAACGCATGATTACGTCTATTAATTGTATCTATAATTCATTATTAAATAACCAACATCACAATTACCCACATCATTTCTCCATCAACCATAAGGATAGGGGGTTTATGGACAGGGATTTTAATGCATAACTAATGGTGCATAATATTTATTAATTTATGCAATAAGACAAAATACATTTTTAAAAATTTCATTAATCAAATATACTGTTATTAAAATTATATTTTATTTAAACAGCAAAAAAGTATTGGAAATTTCACTTTAGTATTAAGGAAAATCCGTAATTATTTACATTAAATTTTAGTACAAAGTACTAAATGTTTGTGCATTTATTTAAGTGATTATATTTAAAGAAAAATTATTCAAATGCAAATTTCATCAAGCACAGCTAGATAAATACATGGGAAGCACTGGGGTTTGTATTTGCACTAAATATACCATGGTTAAAGTGCAGATGTTTAATCAAAAATATAATCAATCTTCGTTTTGGTACAAAAAAAATTAATTGATGAGA